CTCAAAAAAAAAACCCCACACTTACGCTACATTCACTGCCAAGTTTAGCTAACTTCCAATTCCTTAACAACTTAACTAATATAATACTAATTTATCTTTTGAGACTAGCAATTTAATCATACAAGGCCAAAAACAAAAAAATTCATCAACTCACCTGCAATCTAATGAGTTGTCCACGTCTTCGTCGGTAGTTTCTGTGCCTTTTTTTCCCCTTCTAATCTATATATACTTAAGTATTAAAAGTGGCTAATTCCACTAACCTAATTTAATTACATGGGTCAAGTATAAAATAGATTAAATTAGTTATGGATTTGGCCCACTAACTATTAACTATATTAATTATTTATTCAAATTTTCATCAACTAGATACTCTTAGTTATCGAATATTTTGAAGTTTCTATTTAAATTTTACGAAAAAAGTCAAAACAGTTCCAGTTCTCAAAACGACCTAGCGGGTCGTTACATCTTGTTAACTAAAATTAATTATTATTATAAATAATAAAATTTCTATGTAAAGTTAAATGCTTAATGTTCTTTAAAAATAACAAGTACATTATTATTAAAACAAATAGCATGTAAGAAGGAAAAAAAGCCCTAAATTAATAATATTTGTGCATATGTATATATTTGTGCATATGTAAGAAGAGACTAAGGGCTTGGTTGGAAGGACAGATTGGTAAATAGATTTAGTGTAATTAATGTATTCACATTGTCTTGTCATGTTTGGAAGGACAAGTTATTATTTGATCAGCAGGTAATTGGTGTAATTAACACGGGATAATTACAGTCTACAATTCACATGTAGAGGCTGTGAATTGTTATGTTATTATATTTCATTTTCTTCTTGTTTTCAAACTTACTTTACATGATTTGTATAATTTTCTCTTATTATCTGTTTATTTATGACATGCTTATTATCTCATAACCATAATTTTTATTAGTATTTTAATTTTTTAAATTAAAATAAAATTTATTGTTGAGTAAGATGATAGACTTACTTTTTCTTTATTAAGAAAAAATAAAAACAAATCATATTTATTGATATGTTAAATTTGTTATAACAGTATTATGTTAAATTTTTTGTTTTGAATTTATAATTTATGTTATAATCTCGGTTCTACTTTGAAATAAGATATCCACTCCCATAAAAACGAGGGCATCCGACATCTAACAGTCGAAGCTTTAAGAAATTATCATCTTGCATTTGTGACCTTCCCATTAATCAGTGATAAAAACGAAAACCAGAAACGGGAAATATAGCAGTTAAGAGACGGTGAAACACACACACTGTGTAGCCTGGAAAGAAACCAAGGCAACTAACAAGATATTACCAATGAACTATCTAATTTCTCCTTTTCTTTTACCCTCTGGATGGGGCAAGGGACTAAAGCAGCATACACCATAAGTTAACATGAAACTGAAAGGAGTCAAGATGCAGGTAAAACTAGAAGAAATCAGTTATACAAAAGTTATTAACAATTCAAGTTTAAGGAGCCGCTTTAGGCCACTAATATACTTGAACCGCTCCTGAGTCTGCCAGCTATAAGTTGTAGTAACTAACTGAGCAGCTATCATAGATTACATAGTAGCTAACAGAATCTTAAAGTCATCACTTGGCAAGCATCATACGGACAAACTCCTCATAATTAACTTGTCCATCACCATCAATATCTGCCTCTCGGATCATCTCATCCACCTCTTCATCAGTCAGCTTCTCTCCAAGGTTTGTCATTACATGACGAAGCTGCAAATGTTAAATGTACACTCATAAGACACAGGAATTGGCAGTCCATAATACTGGCTGCCAAAAAAACTATTAGCATGTTAAATAACACTTCCCACATAATCACTTGCAAAAAATAAGAAAAGTACCTCAGCTGCAGAAATAAAGCCATTCTGATCTTTATCAAAAACCTTAAAAGCCTCTTTGAGTTCTTCCTCAGAATCAGTGTCCTTCACAAGAATAGTCCAAATTATGTACATTTCTTTTCTCAAGTGTAAAATATGATTATTTGAGCTCAAGACTACTAGATTTGGCAATTAATCATATTTGACAAGCCATGAAGAAAGCATATTTCCGTCCTCCTTAACATAATTATATAAGATCCAAAGGGAAAACAATAATGAAATGCTAAAAAAAGAACAAAAGGAAGAATTAACCAATCATTGATCCCTTGAAAATTGTATTATCTCATTATTGTAACTTGGATGTTGTGAAATTAGGTCTTAGGCCTAACTCACACCCCAAAAGCTAGCTCAAAGGGAGGAGGATTGTCCAAGCCTTATAAAGAGTCCACCCATCTCATTAATTACCGATGTGGGACTTTTATCATTCTTTAACAGATGTTTACAAAGGCATCTGCCTGTAAGCAACTTTTCCTATAAGAGAGATTGTCTCGATGCATGCAGAACTTAAAGCAAGGTTTTTCGTGAATAATCTGAAAGAATCTAGGAACTATCCAGACCATAGCATACTAATATTTGACCCAAAGATCAGTTGACTCAAAAGTCACCCACAATATTTTAAAGTTGAAATACGACAAGTTATTGGGTTGATAAACAAGTACAAATAAGAAAGACTAACATAATATTCAAATAGCTAGTACTCCTATACCTTCATCTTCCGTGCCATCAGATTCAAGAACTCTGGAAAATCAATGGTTCCATTCTGATCAGCATCAACTTCACTGATCATATCCTGTAGTTCAGCTTCAGTGGGATTCTGACCAAGTGATCTCATCACTGTTCCCAACTCCTTGGTAGTAATACAGCCTATAGAAGCAAATGTTAGATCACAACTATAAGTTCTGATTCTGCTCATGGAATAGTAACAATATAGAGTACTCCTTGGGAGAATATAAAATGAAGTATCTCCACAGGGACTTTAAGGAGCAACCAGATGCAATTACATTGAGAAACTAAAAGTGAAAACACAATGCAATATCAAAAAAAACCTCTCCCAGAAGGCAACTCCTGTTTGTATATAAAAAATAATAAGAAAAAAACAGGGAAGTAATGAAGAACACTCTATCCAGTCAAAACGATCAAATTAGCTTTCACAAGTGGAGTTTGGAGAGGGTAGGATCTATGCAGAACTTACCCCTACCTTTGTGGTGTAGAGAGCCCAATCCCCAATAGAACCTTGGCTCATTTTGAAACAACTCCAAATACCAAAAATTAGGATATAAGCAGAACCTAGTAACCTATCAATAATAACCCAATGTAATCCTACAAGTGGAGCAGACCTAGCTCTTGTGGGGGTAGCAAAGTTGTTTCCAATAGACCATAAAAGAGGATGCAACCACACCATGGCTGCAAAATCACCAGTTGCATGCAAAAGAGAGAACCTCAATTGCAGGCCATCCTGGGATTTTGCCAGGCTAATATACAGGTTGGATAGACTTTAATTGCCATTTTGTTCACCCAAAGAGTAACATTATTATCATCACTGAAATATATGGATTCATTTTCTACTTCTGAGTATTTCATTAACAAATGCTGTTGGTTTACTAGCTACAGAAAATCATTGGCACAACATAGTGGGCCAATCACTCTTAAAAGAAAATCCCTTCTCTCCATTTAACTCATTTCTCTTCCTGGGTTGACTTCCTTTAGGAATTCTTGGCTCTCACCTGAAAATTCGAGATTTTCTATGAGCAGATGAACGAAATTACAAGATGGACATGATTGCCTCCAGTTCTACGGCTTCGTCAACCAATGATCCTACTATACATATACTTTAGCCCTACCAGCATTTTCTGTTCTTCTACTTTTTTTTTCGTTCCTCAATTTAACCAGAACAGCAAAATCAAAGAATGAAACGATGTAATTCATGTTTCCAGTAGTGATCTCTTGAACATTAGAGTACTAAATCGCGTAAAAAGTAAGTCAACCAAATAAAAAGCATAGCCAAAGCTTAGATCTACTCCAAAACCACAAAATCAGATGCAATGGCATAAACAACATTTCCTTCTCAAAAAAATTGTAAACAAGAACAAAACACCATCACAGCACTGTAAGATCACAAAAAAACAAACGGAAATGAAAGAGACAAGAGGAAAACGATGAGTTTACCATCGCCATCCTTGTCGAAAAGGCTAAAAGCTTCCTTGAACTCAGCGATCTGCTCCTCCGTCAGCTGCTCTGCCATTTTTCTCCTTCTTTTTTTTTTTCTTTAACAATTCCTTCGATTACTGTAAAAACCCTATGCTCGCGTTTTTTGCTTATGTTTTTGTTTGGACACTTCAGGCGGTACTTAAAGAAGGGGAAAACGAGTAGAAATATCTTGACTCGCCGATAAAATAGGGCTTCTCGAAATAATGTGGAAATATCGTACGGTAAATATTCCACATAAATGGACCCTTAATTCAAGGACGCGTTACTTTTTTCTTTTTTTGTCTTTTAAAATTTGAAAATTTAATAAAATATTAAAAACACTTTTAAATTTACGCAAATTATTATGTTTATGTCTGAACTATTAATAGGGATAATTATGTTTGATTAATTAAATTTAGGTATGTATTTACTTTGTCCAATGACATAACGAGTGGTATCAAATTTTTGTATGAACGTTAAACTCTTAATAAAAAATCGAGAGAAATGTTGAACGTACCCTCAAATTGGCGAGAAAAATTTAGGGGTGTATTTCAATTATTTTTTAAGATCGAAGGTATATAGGTATATATAAGTTTAGTTAGTCATATAAAAGAGTGTTTTTAAGATATCAATAGTTCAGAGATGAATTTAATAATTTGAACAGAGTTTAGGAGTGCTTCCAATGCTTTCCTCTCTCTTTTTCCCTAATATCCCGTATCCACATTAAAACTCGACAAAATTTAAGTTTGCACCAAAAAAATCCACATTGAGGAGTGAAATCTCGCATTGAAGAATAAAGGATGACACCAAAATTTTCTTTTAGCGTTTTGAAGTTTAAGCACCACATATTCGTATCCAAAATGACAAAATATATATAAGTTTTTCATGGTACTACGTTTAATAGTTAGTAATATGCTTACCATTTTTTAAAACATAATTACGTGAAAATTAAAATTTATTGACTCAATTAATTTAAATTTGTATTTTATGAGGTCTATTAGTGAAAAATTATCTTAAAATAATTCTTCAGTTATAATCCAACATATTTCACAAAAGAATAAAGAAATTTTATTAATCACGCCCAAACATATGAGTCGTGGTAAGTACTTACATTTCATTAAATATAAAGTTTGTTTTTTGTTCAAACCTGTCTTTATGTTGCAACGGAAAACAAGTTTGAATATCATAATGCTATTTGCTTATTTGAACTTTAAAAATCTAAATAACTTTTTAATCATAAAAATCAATTTTCTATTATACCATCAAATTGTCTATAATAATAATTTTGGTTTCAATTATCTACCTGTTATAATGAGTAAATAGTTTATTACCATTTTTTTTATAAAAATATTATTTTAACAGTTGATTGTTATATATTCTTATAACATGATTTATTATTTATATCGTATCTGATTCTTATAACTTAGAAGTATTCTACTGTTAAATTTTAATGCTTGCTAGTGATGAGAATAATACATTATTCATACAATAATCTTTTGACATAAATAGTGTAATAAAAGATAAAATATTTTACTTAAATCTCTAGACATATTATTAGGAATCTTAGCGATACTATATTTATAAAAAAAATGATTAGTTACAATATTGAAGTACTGATTACAAAAAAAAAAGTTATAGCCTAAAATTATTGTTATAGTAAAAAAGTAAAATATAACCTGTAAATTGGTTCAATCAATTTTATTTATAGAAGACTTAATTATTATAATATTGCGTATGTAATTCATGATACAATCATTAGTCCTCTTTCAAACGTTGTTATTCTTTTCCACAATCTCAAATTAATTATTTAGAACTTTGAAATTACTAAGGAAATGGCACGCACGTTATAAACTTTATAAACCAATTTAAAATATACTTTTAAGTCATTAAATATAGTACTTAATATTTAATTTGAAGAATTCTTAGTGGGACATTTTCATCAACATCGATAACATTAACCATAATCTTTGTCCCTTTCAAATTTCCACCAATTAGCAAGCACCAAATGAATCCTCAAACTTTAGAGAAATTTCTATTCAACTACTTTATTTTTATTTTATTTTCTTTCCCTCTTTACCTTTTTCTTATTCCCTCTACTTTTTTTTTTTTACACTTTTGTTTTGTACACATTTGTCTATTCGTTCATTGTTTGTATTCGTCTCTTTTTCGTTAATGGCAGAATTAAAATTTAAATTTTATGAATTTAAATTTCTAATTTCTAAAATAATGATATTGTGTTATCCATACAGGTTTTTGATATTTTACAGGTTAAGTCGGACTAGCCTATTTTACAGGCTTGTCGTGTTAGCCCACTATTTTAAAAAATTATATTATTTTTAAAATTATTAAATTAAATTATAAATTATAATTTAAAAATATTATCATAAATATCGACAAAACAATATTACATGATGTTATTGTCACTATTTTTTAATCAAATCCGCAAATAAAATTATCTTTATAATATTTATTAAGTTTTTTTTAAAGTAAAAATATAAATATCTAAATAGAAATATTAACCTAATTGTTTTGAGTTTGGATCTCTTTAATTTTAAATTTTAATATTATATTATATTATATTTTTAATTAATTTTACTGGCCCACGAATTTCTCAAGCCCCACAAATCAGCAGGTTTATTCAGGCCGGGCTCAAAAGCCCTTTTTCAAACGGGTTCCAGTAATTGTGGTACAGTCCTATTAAATTTCGAATTAGGTCAGGCTGGCCGAACAGGCCTAGCTCATATTGGTGGCTGTAGTAATTAAGTTTTAAAATTAATATTGATTATAGATTAATAATTTTTTAATTATTTGAACTAAAGTTACTAAATAGCTTTGGTGTTATTTTTTCATCAATAAATAGTCGCTTAATTTTCTAATCAAACTAAGAAAATCCTTATTAATTTTAAAAGATTTGACTAAAGAGTCTTTCGAAATTCAAATTTATAGGTAAGCATTAAAATGACAATTTTAAAAAAAAGTTTATGGACTCAAAAGTGTCCATAAACATATAAATAACTGGCAAATAACTTTTCTTGGCTAACTTAATTAATTTGAAATACTATTCAATCTAAATGATAAGCAAAAGGAAAAGCTCTTTTTGAATTTATATTTGAAATAAAAGCTCTTTTTGATTTTGTTTATTTTTTTTTTGTTGAAGGGTTTATTTAAGCAACAGTAACATAAATCAAGATTTATTCGTTTGACCAATTAATAACGAAGTAAATGTTGACAGATTAACAGAGAATTAAAAAAGAGACTTTAAACAAAAATGTAACGGCTTTTAAGGGATGAAATGTAACAACTTTTAAGGGAAATTCATTATTACATATCAAACAGATTCAACAAAAAAGGAAAAATGCTATATGAACAAAATTAGCTTTAGTTTTGGCACATTGAGATAGGAATGGGAAAAATGGAGATTGTCGTCGGTCGTAGATCATTAAGATAAACGCAGTAATTTGTGAAAAGAGAGCATCCTATAGTTATAATAGAATAATACATGATCTGTATAAGAGAGAGTTGCTTCTTATCGCAAAATACTTATACAAACAACTATATCAAATAAGAATTGTCTTTATATGATTTTAAACGAAATTCGCAAAATATGTGACTCCACATAGAAGAATGGAAAAATTACATAAAATTTAAAATCATTACAAGTTCATATCCGAAGTTAATGTTGAAATGCTCATACTCTCATGAATAATTAAAACTCATATCCTTCATTCATCAAGGTTGATAATTTTCATTTGACTAATACTAAATCATTATCTATATTGTATTAGTATTATTAAGGTTGATAATTTTTCTAAATTAATACGAAATTATAATATTTATAATGTATTGGTATCATTAAGATTTTTTTGTTAAAAAATTATTCATTAGTCAATGATATTATAAGAGTGTGTGTGTATATCTATATAAAAAAAAATTAATCAAGCAAAATTATTAGCCTTAATGATATCAATATACTATATGATACTGATTTAATATCAGTTAACCGAATTAGTTAAGAATATATATATAGTGTAATTATTTAGTGAGGTACAAATATAAATAAATATATATATATTTATAATCATTTTATTCTTATGAAATATTTGCTTAGTTTCCCAAAGAAGAAAACAAAGACTAATTTTGGGTTTTGACCCATTTATGCTCCAATTGTTGTGTTTCGGGCCTTTTGACCTTATAGATAAAAAAGAGTTGGGCTTTGGCCCGATACGAAATGCTTACGAAGACTCGAGTCCAGTATAACCCGTTTGAGACATTAGTACAGGAAAAATTATCTAAATATTACATTTTATTTTAGGGCAACTTTCACATATAGCAAATATAAAATTTATATTTGTATGTTATAACAAAGTTTGTATAATTGCGCTCCATATAAAACTTTACATATATATAATTGGAAAAATTACATGAATTAATACATTTTTAAAAATAATTACTGATTTTAGCAATATTTTTTGTTTATTACCATTTATAGCAATACTGTGATAAATCTGTAATATGTATTAAAAATGAATTATGTATGCAATATATTTGTATTATAATTGTTTTTGAAATATCTTATGTTTGTTTGGTAAAAAAACTGTCAAATTGTATTATAAGTGTATTAAAATGTGTGATACATGCATTATCCATTATTAAAACTTTTATTATTTGTGAATAATAAATTGTTCTTTGTAATATATATTAAACTTGTATTATAAATTAATTAAAAGTGATCAAGTGAAAAAAAAGTTAACGCTATAAATTTTAAATATTTTTTTATTATAGTATATTTATGTAAGTTTCCCTATATAATTCGCTATACATATACAATTGAAGTGAATTGTATAAAACGAGAAATGCAAAAGAGACTTGGGCAGGGAAATATTTGTGTTGTATAATTATAAGTGTATAGGACGAAAATATATGTATTTGCATGCGTTTATACAATTTTCTCTCGCTTTATACAATTAGAAATACAATTTATACAATTCTATTGTATAAAGCGATAGAAGCGAGCGAGAGGGAGAGTGATGAGCGAGAATATGAGGGAAAGAAGGACTGACAAACAGTTTGCTATGGAACACATATAAATCAAATGATAATTATTATATTTATTATATTAATTTGCATTTTACATATATGTATAAGCGAAGAGAAAGGAGAGAGACGCACATAACTATAACTAAAATCAAGCTGCGAACAATAGTTAATTTAAACTATAGTTATGTTAACTAACTAACAAATATATATTTGTTTATTTGCTTAAATTTCCCATTGTCTAAACCTAGAATACAAATACTAAAACATGGGCCTTTACTAATATTATAGGCTAACATCTCCTCAAATTGTTGTGGAGTATCACAATTCACAAAGCAACAATTTGGAGATGATAAATTATTGGGTAATTTACATAAATTTTATAGTGTTAAGAGAAAATTATATTATTTTCTTAAGCTTTTTGAAATTACAGACATCGCCCTGACAATTTATAGATTTTGGACACGTTGCTGAACTTCCTAATACATAGGATTTTCAGATATATCATTGAACTTTCGAATACATCCACAAACATTCGAATATATAGGGGAGGGATGTATCCGAGAGGGAAGAGATGTGTTAGAGAGGGGATAAACATGTACCAAAGAGGGGATATGACATCAAGATAAATGGGAGAGAAATGTATCCGAAAGAAGAGGAGATACATCAAAGAAGGGAGGGATTTATCCAAGAGGGTGATAAAATGCATTAACGAGAGGGGATCGAGGTATCCTAGATGAAATTTTTTTAAAATTTTAAAGGAAAAATTACTTGGATTGGTACCTTTTAACAAAATAGTTATTGATTTTAGCGATACTTTTTATTTACAATCACTTATAACAATACTATGTTAAATCTGTTATATGTATTAAAAGTGAATTATGTATGCAATATATATGTATTAGAATTGTTTTCAAAAATATATTATGTTTTTTTTGGTAAGAAATTGACACATTGAATAATAAGTATTTTAAATTGTCTGATAAGTGTATTAGCTCCCAATAAAACTTGTATTATATGTAAATAATAAATTGAGTTAATAACTTTGATAGTCTCTCAACTATAAATTGTTTACACAGAAAATCACTCAACTTTTATTTTCAACTCAAAAGTCACTCAATTATAATTTTTTTGCACAAAAAATTACTCAACTTTCATTTTCAACCCAAAAATAATTAAACTATGACTTAATTGCACAAAAAGTCACTCAACCTATTAATTATTTTTTCATTTAAATTAAGTGACATAGAGTTTTAATTATTAAACAAAATTTTAAGAATGAATACATACCCATTCAATGACCCGCTCCATTTAATTTGACCCGCTAAAATATAATATTGAACATTTTATATCACCATTAATTTCCTAAATCATTCTCCCTTGTCTCCATACTCTTTCAGCGAGTTAATGGTAAAATAAAATGTTCAATGTTCAATGGGAATGATTTAGGAAATTAATGGTGAAATAAAATATTTAATATTATATTTTAGCGGGTTGAATTAAATGGGCGGATCATTAAATGAATATATATATTTGATTCTTAAAATTTTGTTTGATAATTAAAATTTAATGTCACTAAATTTTAATGAAAATAATTAAATAGGTTGAATGACTTTCTGTGTAAAAAGGTAGTTGAGTAATTTTTGAGTTAAAAATGAAAGTTTAGTGAATTTATGTGAAAACAATTGATAGTTAAGTGACTATAAAAGTTATTACAACTCATAATAAATTGTTCTTTTTAATATGTATTAAAACTATATTATAAATATATTAAAAGTGATCAAGTAATAAAAACTACTATTACTATAAATCATAAATATTTTCTATATTTATGTAAGTTTCCCTAATAAGTTGCGGTATAAATGTTTTATCTTTTTATTATGCTCGTCTTTTTACTTTTACTAACAAAACGTTCAAATTATAAATATGGAAAATAGGGAAAAAACCTAAATTATGAATATCATTGCACCTCTTAAACATTTACACACAATTTAGTGCTGAAGACTACTTCAAAATTGGAACAAAAATAAACTTAAATTATAAATATTCATATTTAAAACCGTACCTTTTAAAGTTCACATTCTAATTAAAATTTAAAATTAAAATAGGAATAAACTTGAATTATAAACATTCATAATTAAGACCTTACCTCTTAAACAACCGTATTTTAATTCAAAAAATGGAATAATAATAAATTTAAATTATAAATATTGAGTTTTTGGCCAAAAACATTCTTTAACTATATCCTAAACTTAAACTACACCCTTAAACTATCATTTCTAGCAGAAAACATCATTTAACTATATCCCCAGCTTAAACTACATCCTTAAAGTATTATTCTTACCATAAAACATCCTTCAAGTATTTTAAAATGAGCAATTTTCATTCTTCTACTTGAATATCTCGTAAAACTACCCGATATATCCCACAAAAATTAAGTCGTTCCTTCCTAATTATGTTTAAATATATTTCTTCTCAATTGAATATGCTAGAAGCAATATTTGTTGGAGACTTCTGTTTCTAATAATGTACAATGAAACTCAAATACAAGACATAATCAATATTTAGATCACTTCAATATTAGATTGACCTAAAATCTATTGATTTAATTGGTTAAGAAAAAGATATAAATAATTAATCTCCAACTTCTTTCCGTTACGGAAAAGGTAAATCATATACACTCACACCTTCCAATCATTTTTAGTTTCCATAAGCAACAATCTCTAAGATTGTTAATATTTTCCAAGAACTTCTTGTTGCAAGTAATGAAATTATGCAGAATAACTTTTGTTGGTAGTCATGTTAACTCCTCATGTTTTTGTAAGATCCATTAGTTTTTTTACGATATCTAACAAAAGGATGAAAGTTGTTCACTTACAAATATTCAAAGGATGTTTTTTTGCTAAAAATGATACTTAAAGGATGTAGTTTAAGTTTGAGGTATAGTAAAAGATGTTTTCAACTAGAAATGATACTTTGAGGATGTAGTTTAAGCTTGAGGTATAGTTAATGGATGTTTTTGACATCTAATTCAAAAATGGAATAATAATAAATTTAAATTATGAACATTCATATTTAAGACCTTAACTCTTAAACATTCATATTCGAATTGAAAATCAAAATAGGAAAAACCTAAATTGTTTAAGATTTTGTTAGTATTAGCTTGACTATTTAATTAGTTAATGTCTATATATGTTTTGCAGTCACATTCGTAGGTTTTTCTCATTTCTATTCACATTTATGTATTGCCCTATTATAAATAGGCCGTACTACTAGCTATTTTCTTATAAACTCGAAAAAATAAAATACGAAACCAAGTAAAAATGCATCATCAGATAGTGCCTAATGATTTAGTTGAGAAGATAATCTCCTACTTGCCTTTGAAATTTGCAGTTCAATGTAAAGTTATAAGCAAAAATCTCAACATTTGGATTTCCGATCCTGAATTTCGTAAAACTCTATCCCAAAATCAGAAAATATGTACACTAATCAATTCATCAAGAAGCCGATTATTCGAAAGTCTCCACAAAATCTCCATAAACAGTAGCAGTATAACAGCCAGTCATTTCGAGACGACTTTACCTGTTAACCTTAATGTTTTAGCTATATCGGAGGGTCTAATTCTACTCGACTTTTGTGAACTTATGAAGTACTGTGTCTTCAATCCTATAACTGGAGCGCACCAATTGATTCCATATCCTGATCCTGAACAATGTTACTGGGAAGCAATTGCTCCAGCTTTTGCTGTTGACTACCCCACTTCTGATCGATATATGTTGGTAACAGTTAAGCTGACGGAAGAAGGTTATGGATTTAAAGTATTTTCATCAATTGGATGTGGTGTGTGGCATGAATTCCATTTGGGCGAAGAAAATCAATTTCTGTATGTGGTGCAAGTTAATCCTGATTCAATCCATTGGCTCATAAGAACTTATGTTGGTGGCGTTATTCTTGGTTTCCATACGAAGAAAATAGAGGTTAAATTAATTGATCTTCCTGAAACGAATATTTTATAATGCATTCTTAACCATAAAATGGTTAGGCGTGGTGCACGGTTTACTTACCCATGTTTGCGGCTTACAGAATTCCATAGTCATTTCATCTTATGATCATACGAGCAATGACTGGAGTGTTTCCTATAACGTGACCACCAATTTCATTAGCGGTCTCGACTACTATAGCTATTCCTTTCCAGTATGGATTGACAGAGAACAGTTGTTTTTCCTAGCAGAATGTCCTCCGCGACATGATCATGATTCTGGGAGAAAGAGGTATCAAATAACTCCTGCTTTGGAGGATGATTATTGTTTTGGTTATTATCCATGCGAGTTATATACCTTTGCACCAACTTTAGCCAGTGTTCAATCGATTCTCTCATGCTCTGTCTACGGGAAACATGTATCATCTATCATTGAAACGTTAGATGAGCTCAAAAGATTTATCACAGACAACAACTCGTATAGTTAGTTTCCTTTAATTCAATTTTGTATTTTATCCTAAACTATACTGAGAATTACTGATTTTGGTTTTGCTAGCAACCTGTCCTGTTTCTGTTTTGGTATGTTTCATTTTTAGAAAAAAGTAGACCAATTAAATGTTTTCTTCTAATAAAACTCAATGTGTACTTGCTTTAAAGTTTTGAATACTGTTTAAGAAAAACTATAATAGGAGAATTGATCAAATGAAGATCGATGTATCTATACCAAAAGGGTCAAATATAACCCGATATTTTTAAATATATCTCTTGTTATATATCTGATACTTTGACACAAATATATCCTTAATTTTAATAGAAAGACGCATGTCAAATTTAGATTAAATACCTAATTTTATAAATTCAATTTGCTAAGAAACTCACTCATCTAACCACCTAATCCAATTGAGATGGTATATTTGGACCCAAAATCTAACGAAGAAAATAATAAACTATTCTTAATAATAAGGAGGTATAAATATTTGAGTACTTGACCCTTTGCAATATACAAAATAAGGAAGTTGGAAAACATAGGGAAAGCCTAACAGTACCTGAAAAGGGAAAATACTTTTCTAATATTCAAATTATAAATAAGGAAAATAAATGCAGTAAAACCTCTATAAATAAATACTGGATATATTAAGGAAAATTTTCATATATAGCTATTTAAAAAATAATTAATTACTTTACATAGCTATAGTTGATAATTACAATTTGTAGCTACATGTCATATGGAGGAGAGGGGCAAGCGAGATTGGGAAGAGAGGAGAGAGGCGAGAGAGAGAGGAAAAAGAGTGGGAGAAAAATCAATTGTATATGTACATTGGTTAGATAATTGTATATTATACATATATATTTGTATATATGGCAAGAGAGATTGTGAGAGGGAGGAGAAAGACGAGCGAGATCGAGAGTAGAGAGGCGAGCGAGAAAGAACAGAGAGTGGGAGAGAGGTGAATTGTATATTTATATATTGTATATTATACATATGCATTTGTATATATAACAAGCGAGAATGGGAGAGTGGGGAGAGAGGTGAGCGAGATTGGGAGAGTGAGGAGAGAGCCGAGCGAGATCGAGAGAGTGAGGAGAGAGGCGAGCGAGAGAGGGCGGAGGGTGGGAGAGAGGTGAATTATATATGTATATAAGTTAAATAATTGTATATTATACATATGTATTTGTATATCCTGGCGAATTATACATATATAAACGTGACTAATTATACAAATTCGAAGTTAGCCTACGTAATTAATGTATAATGTTAGTCGCAAGTGATAATTATAGCAAACTATAGCTATGATGAGTAATTAAATAGTATAAGTTTGTTTAGCAGCATAATTTTCCCATAACTTAATAATCTCTGTATAATAATATTTTCCTCCGGTTCCGACTTGGACCAATGGAGAAAATCATCAATTTCGATAAGATAATAAGATTATATATTTCCAAAAGACCCCTATATAAATATATGGTCCCATTAATATCATAAATTAATAATTATTTAAAAGTACAAATATATTGAAGACAATTTAGAGAGATATGACTCTATTGTGTTCTGTTTTTTCTTAAAATATAAATCTAGTTAAAGCTTATCTCTAACTATTCTTATTGCATCTAAGAGCTTTGGTGTTGTCTTTTTGAACTGCATTATAAAATGTGAATAGTTGTAAATGCGATAAGTATTTCCTTATGCGTAATTGGTTCCAAAAGTATAGTATCATCTACAACTTCATCATCAACATTGATTTTTCCGGTGCTATTCACAATATCTTCTAAGCTCTGGACCTCTGAACATGTATCACTTATTGACATTCATTATATTGTAGTAAATGAGATTGTTCTTCAATAACCTCAAGTTCATAAATGATGTTTCACAAGTAGGTTCATTTAAATTCTTTGAGATTACATCCTCCGAACAAATTGGACAGTGTCAAAAACAATTTGTTTTTGTCTTAGATATATTTGTTGTCCAAACATGAATTGCAAAATTGATAGCCTCCAAAAATTTTCCTGGATTAGTTTGTTCCAATTCATAATCTTCTAATATCCTACGATAAAATCTGTTCGATAATACATCTTGAAAGCTCTTATTATTCGAACGTCACAAGGTTGAAATTAGTAAGATACAATAATTTTTACGTATTCGTGTACTTTATGTATACTTTTTAAAAATGTGAAATCAATATGTATGATACATAAATTAGTAAGATACCTAACCTTTATTTTAAATCTCAAATCCTTCTTTAAATTAATAAATATTAATTTATTAATTAATAATATTTGTATAAAATAATAAAATTTAATGGTTCCACCTATATTAATTTATAGAGGTTGTAGTGTACTTAGTAGAGCAACTTGTCCTCTTAGGTTAAATATTTGATGTCCATCTTTATATTTGATTCCTCCAAAATTCAAAAAATTTAATTGTCTCTCTCTTTTTTGGCCTTTCCATGATAAAAATTCTGGTTTTGGATGCTTGAATATGGAACTGAATGAAGATATTGTTGTGGATATCTATCTCCCGCTTATCTGTGAAGCTTACAGTTCAACGTAAAGTTCTAAGCAAAAGTTTCAACAATAAACTGTGTGAAGCAAATATTTCACAAAGTTTTGCTTGACGATGGTTTCGTGATAAAAATATTGAGGTTTTAACCAAACTAAGTCATTATATAAAGTCATTCACCAAAATAATATGTTTTTTCTAAAATTTTACAGAACTAGT